CAAGTTCCAGGACAGCTGGAGCTACAGAGAGACCCTGTCTCAAACAAATAAATAAATGGGAAAAAAAGTATATTGGGGGAGATAGCTTAGTGATTAAGATCACTGACTGCTCTTTCAGAGGACCTGAGTTTGGTTCCCAGCACCCACACAGCAGCTAACAACTGTCAGTGATTCCAGTTCCTAGAGATCCCCTTTTCTTTTGACCTCTGTGGACATTGCATGCATACGGTGCACTTACATACGTGTAAGCAAACCAGTCATACACATTAAATAAATAAGCAAAAATTTCAGAAGTGGCTGGTTGTGGTGGCACACACCTTTAGTCCCAGCACTCAAGAGGCAGAGGCAGGCAGATGTCTGTGAGTACAAGGCCAGCCTGGTCTACAAAGTGAGTTCCAGGACAGCTGGGGCTACAGAGAGACCCTGTCTCAAAAAGAACAAAAAAAATTATTCAAAAGTAGAGCAGAGCCTGAACTGAATAGATGAAGCCTTTACATTTTTTATTACATTAAAAATATTTTTTTATGTGTATGAGTGTATTGCCTGCATGTGTATGAGTACACCCGTGTCGTGCAATGCCGCGGAGGTCAGAAGAGGGCTTCAGATTCCCCTGGCATGCAGGTGCTGGGAATCAAACCTGGGTCCTCTGCAAGAGCAGTCCGTGCTCTTAACTGCTGAGCCATCTCTCCAGCCCCCACATTTTTTATTACATTTTTAAAAACAATCTTTTAATTAGGTCATTTGGTTTCTTGATTCTTTGTTTTTTGAATTCTTTATATGTTCTGGATGTTAAACCTTTGTCAGATGTGTCACTTGTGAAGATTTTCTCTTGATCCCTTGGTTGTTTCTTTTGCTGTATAGAAGCATTTGTGTTTAATGAGGTCCCACTTCTTGATTCTTGACCTTAATTCCTGAGCAATTGATGGCTGGTTTAGAAAGTCCTTTCATACACCTATATCTTTTTTTAATTTCATTTGTTATTTTTATTTTATGTGTATGCATGTATTGCCTATATGTAGGTAAGTGCACCCATGTTGTGCAGTGCCCACAGAGGTCAGAAGAGGCTGTTGGATCCCCTGGGACTGGAGTTATGGACAGTTGTTAGCTGCCATGTGGGTGCTGGGATTCAAACCTAGGTCCTTGTAAGAGTAGCCAGTGTTCTTAACCACTGAGCCTTCTCTCCAGTCCCTGTTTTTTCTTTTTCCCAGTCCCTATCTTAACTTATACATTAACCAGTAGTTAATATAAAGTATTTGCAAAATGTAGTCATTTAGTAAGTCAGGGAATCCTTGATAGAATATAGCCTGTAACAAAAGTATCTAAGTGTATTTGCAGGAGGTTGTGTATACAAATTGATCTGTTACTACCAGGATTGTTTTAGCTATCCCCCTTTGATACTCTGTAACTTTCTAATGGAAAATCTCTACCAGTACCTGCCAACCATTTACTTTATTGTTCATTTCAAGTATATTTGTGTAAGGGTTTCAGAATCATGAGCCCAGGGACCAGTAGAAACAATTGTATCAACTACAGTACAGTACTGACATGGAGGTTTTGCTTTTTGTCTTTCACACTCTATTCATTAGAGCCACTAAGATGGCTCAGTGGCCGAACCACTTGCTGCCAAGCCTGATGACCCAAGTCCAATTTCTGGGACGCACCTGATGGAAGGAGAAAACCAGCTCCAGTTGTCCTCTGACCTCCACATGTATCACAGCATGCGAACCCCTCCCCTTAACACACAAATAAATGAACTCCATTCATTTCTAAGTTCCTTATGTCAGCTGTCTTTTCCATTTAATAAACATTTTTAAAGATTTATTTTTAATTATGTGTATGTGTGTCTGTGTGTATTTGCCATGTGTGTTAAGTGAGGAGGCCAGAAGAGGGTATTAGATCCCTTGGAGTTAGATTTACAAATGGTTGTGAGCCACCCAACGTGGGTGCAGAGATTCCCAACTCAGGACTTCTGTAAAAGCAGCTGGTACTTTTAACTGCTGAGTCATCTCTCCAGCTCCAGTATACATTTTTTTTGTTATTGTTCTTGACAGAATTTAGTATAAAAATTGTTGACTGGGATTGGAAAACAGAAAAGATAAAAGACTTAGAAAGCATTGGGCTATCAGAGATAGACTACACTGAAGAACTCCAGGGAAGAGGCAGAATTTTTTTTTTTGGTCTTTTTGAGACAGTGTCTCCCTGTAGCCCCACTCACTATGTAGACCAGGCTGGCCTCAAACTCACAGAGATTCGCCTGCCTCTGCCTCCCAAGTGCTGGGATTAAAGGCATTTTGCCACCACGCCCGGCAACGTAGAACTTTTAAAAAAAATTTTAATTTTTATTTATTTTTATTTTGTGTATGTGAGTGTTTTGCATGCATTATGTAAGTGCACCTGAGTCATGCAATGCCCACGGAGGTCAGAAGAGGGCATCAGATGCCCTGGAACTGGAGTTAAGGATGACTGTTAGCCCCCATGTGGGTGCTGGGAATTGAACCTGGGTCCTCTGCAAGAGCAGCTAGTGCTCTTAACTGCTGAGCCATCTCTCCAGCCTCAAGAGGTAGAATGTTTTATTTTTATTACTTATTTATTTTAATTTTGGTTTTTGGAGACAGGATCTTCCTTTGTAGCCTTGGATGGACTGGAGCTCAGAGTGTGGACAGAGATGGCTTTGAACTTTTAATACTGTGTCTGTCTCCCTCCCAAGTGCTGGGATTATAGACTTGTGCTAAGCCTAGCTAAGGTTCCCATGTTCTTGTTTTGTTTTGTTTGCTTGTTTGTCCCTTTGAGACAGGGTCTCCCTGTAGCCCCAGCTAGCTGTCCTGGAACTCACTACATAGACCAGGCTGGCCTTGAACTCACAGAGATCCGCTTGCCTCTGCCTCTCCAGTACCCAGATTAAAGGCGTGCACCACCATGCCTGGTGAGGTTCCTATGTTTTTAAAAAACTTAAATTTTTTTTTTTTTAAATTTTGTATGTATGAGTGTTTTGCCTGCTTGTATATAAGTGCACCTGTGTCTTGCAAAACCCATGGAGGCCAGAAGAGGGTGCCGGATCCCTTGGAACTGGAATTACAGATGGTTGTTGGATGCCATGTGGGCACTGGAAATCAAACCTGGGTCCTTTGGAAGAGCAGCCAGTGCTCTTAATCACTGAGCCATCTCTTTAGCCCCTAAAAAGATTTTTTTTTTTTCTTTTTGACACAGGGTCTCCCTGTAGTCCCAATTGGTCTGGAACTTGCTATGTAGACCAAGCTGGACTTGAACTCACAGAGATCTGCCTCCCAGGTGCTGGGATGAAAGGTGTGCGCCACCACACTCATCTCCTAAAAAATATTTTTTTTAAAAAATTTATTTTATGTGTATGTGTGTACCCGAGTGTATTACATGCAGATGCCTGCAGAGTCCAGAAGAGGGCATCAGAGCCCTTGGAACTGGAGTTACAGGCGTTTGTAAGCCAAGCAACTTGGGCCCTGGGAACCAAACCTGGGAGCAAGAGAGGCAAGTGTTCTTAATCACTGCACAAATCTCTCCAGCCCCACGGAGTAGTATTTTAATAGTTTTTAATTAACGGTTTTAATTTGAGGATAATTTCCATACCACTGAAGCCATCCATTGTCAGTGTATGACTTTTAGTAAATGTATACAATTGTGCAACCATCAATCTGACCACAATCCACTTTTAGAATATTTCAAACATCATCCTCCCCCCAGTTCCTTCAAGCTTTTTTGCATTCTATCTCTACTCCTACACCTAGCCCTAGGTCACTGTGCTCTGTCTCTATAGATTTGCCTGGTATAAAATTCAGTAACAAAAGAGGTCATGCAAAAATAGATGCTAAATAGGAATAGACCCAACTGACCTTAAAATTAACACAGATTTAAAAGCTACTCAAAAGTGGGCTATAAGGCACCTGTAGTCCCAACACTTGGGAGGCAGAAGCAGGCGGATCTCTTGAGTTCAAGGCCAGCCTGGTCTACATAGTGAGATCCAGGACAGCTGGGGCTACAAGGAGACCGAAAAAAAAAAAAAAAAAAAAAAAAAAAAAAAAAGAAAAGAAAAGAAAAAAGTGGGCTACAAGGAGATGGATGGAAGTATAATTTATTGACAGAAGAGGGTTTGGCATGAACTAGGTCCTGGGTTTAATCCTCAGCATTCTATCCCTAAAGTATTCTATAAGGTTTTTTTTGTTGTTTGTTTGTTTATTTTTGTCTTTTTGAGACAGGGTCTCCCTGTAGCCCAAACAGGCCTGGAACTCACTGTGTAGACTAGGCTGGCCTCGAACTCACAGAGATCCATCTGCCTCTGCCTCCCAAGTGCTGGGACTACAGGCATGCTTTTTCTTTTTTTTTTCTTCCAATTTTTTTTTTTCTGGTCTTTTTGACACAGGGTCTCCCTGTCCGTAACTCCAGTTCCAGGGGATTGGACGGTCTCTTCTGTCCTCCGTGGGCATTGCACGACACAGGTGCACCTACCTACATGCAGGCAACACATGCATACACATAAAATAAAAATAATAAATGAAATACTTGATCCCCGGGAACTGGAGTTAGGATAGTTGTTAGCTGCCATGTGGGTGTTGGGATTCGAACCCAGGTCTTGTGTGAAAACAACCAGTGTTCTTAACTGCTGAGCTATCTCTCCAGCCCCTATTTAAATTTTTATTGATTAAATTTATTCATTTATTGTATATGCACACATGGTGCAGACATAAGACAATTTGCATGAGTCTAGGCGCTCCATCCATCTTGTGGGGCTGGGGCTTGAACTCAGGTGGTCACGCTTGGCAGCAGTCGCCTCGACCCGCTGAACCATCTCGCAGGCACTATTATTTATTTAAAATTTTTTGATTTTTGGAGAGACAGGGTCTGGCTTAGCCCGTCTGGCGGGCTTGAAACTTTATGTCTCCCAAGCTGGGCCTCGGAGCGCGCCATCCCGGCTGGCTCGCCTGCACTTTTCCCGCCTCCAGGCCCGCCCTTCCCGCTGCGCATGCGCGCGAGCCGGCCTTCCTGGTTCGGACGCCGGACCTGTGTTCTCATCGATGCGGCTCCCGGGGCGATTGCTTCTGTCTAGGTATTGTGCGGAAAAGGAAGCTCGCTGGAACCGAGGCTGGAGCTTCGCTCGTTGCTGACCGCGACCGCGGAGGACTGCCGAGGACCGGGTGGGCTATGGGCGAACCCGGCCCTGTGGTTCCGGGGCACCGCGCGGGAGGCCGGAGCTGGTGCTTGCGGCGGCTGGGGATGGACAGCGAGTGGCTTTTGCTGGAGACTGGGCGTGAGGTGAGGGCCGCGGGAGGCGGCGGAGGAGCGGGACCAGGACCGGGCGGGAAGCCGAGTCAGGTCTGGGGAGCCCCGGGCGTGAGGCTAGGTGAAGCCGGGGCGGGAAGCCCAGGCAGGAGGCCGGGGCCCGGGGCGGCTGCACGGGAGGACTGCTGCGATGAGCGCCGCCATAACGGACGCAGTGGCCTCGGGCCCGTGTAAGACAGGACAGGGCGAGAGTCCGGACGATTCTAGACAGGGAAACTGAGGCGGAGGCGAATCTCGCCCAGGGGTTCCGAGGTCCGCGCTCGGATGGCTGCGGAGGACGTGGACTCTTTGGAGTTGGTTTTGAAGGTGATTGCGAGTTTAAGGGTGGGGCACTTAGAATATCGAACTTTAAAGTCATTTTCAACTCCTAAGGATAATTGGCGCGTTAAGACGCGCCACGCTTTGCCTTGTGTCTCGGTACCGCCGAGTGGCATCCCTACAGTGGGTCAGATAGAATTCAGTGTCCTCCGAGGCTGCTCAGGGTTTGAGAATACATAAATGGATTGTGCTGGGATCGAACCTAGGACTTCATGATTGAAAGCCAAGCACTCTGTCAGCTGAGCTGTATCCTCAACCCCCAAAAATGCAAAATTAAAAAAAAAAAATTTAAAGAGGAAAGGTGAGGGACCATTGTGTCTAGGATAGAGGTGCTGGACTTTAGCGTCCAGAAAAGCTAAGACTAGGGGGCCACATAATTGCAGGCAAATCTGGAAGGAGAACTGGGTCGGGGACAGGCTTATGTTGTAGAACCATTTGTGTTTTGGAAAGAGTTTGTGCCATACTGAGTGATTGATTGGTCATCTTGTAAATTAAATTCCTTAGTTATGTTAGATTTTTCTTAGAATCCGGATGTTCTCAGTTGAGGAACAAAGAGACTAATGTGCTCAGGTTTATGACTTGAACTAGGGAAGAAAACTTATTTATACATCGAAGGAGTGGGACATCTGAGTAGGCTGTATGATGAAGTTCGGAGGAGTGGATTCATTTGCAATACCCTAGAGCAGGTCCAGCCACAGATGTTGCTAAATTAGCAGGCTTTAAAGAGCTACTTAATTTAGTTACCACTGGGCATGGTGGTGCAGGCCTTTAATCCCACCACTTGGAAGGCAGAGGCAGGCCGATCTCTGAGTTCAAGGCCAGCCTCGTCTACATAGAGAGAGTTCCAGGCTAGCTAGGGCTACAGGGATATCCTGTCTCAAAAAGACATAAAATAAATAAAATAAAATAATAAAATAAAGAGCTACTTTAGTTACAACTGTAAGGTTATTTATTAGATTACCTAATCTGATCCCTGCACATGCACTAGGTTCCCACAAATCCTGTATGGCAAGGTAGTTAATCAAGTGTTGACTTATTTAGTCTCAATTCTGTAGACTAATTTATTACTGCCGAATAGCTTGGCAGGCCTGGATCAGCAAGGGCAAGAAGATCATAAAGCATTCCTCAACATGTTCTACATTATTCCATAGGTTTGTGTGGGGCCACATCTATGGGAAGAGACCCATATAAACCAAGACATTCTCGGAAGGTTATGGCTGGACTCAGGGCCTGTGAAGAAGCCTGCTGGACCTGGCTTTATGCAAGGTCAGGTTTTAGGCAGTATTTGGTACATAGCTAGTAAAGTGTATGAAGAGCCTAAATCAAAGCCAAGATAACGATAACATCTGTCTTACCTCTGCAGGCACTGCATGACATGGGTGCACTTACATACATTCGGGCAATACATTCATACACATAAAATAATTTTTTTTTTTAAAAAAAAAAGGAAATAAAATTAAGTAACTGGGCAGTTGGCGGGTTTTAAAGAAAGAAGGGAAATGATGTGCTTTAAACTTTTTCTTTACCATTTCAGCTGCTATGTGAAGAGTCAGATCTAGAGAAGAGCAGAAAACTCAGGAGACCAGAAGTTTGGACAGCATGAAAGTGACGAGATTTAGAGCATGCGTGAATCATAGCCAGTACATTTGTCCACAGTTTAATTGTGGGGTGAGGGAAGATGAGTCAAAGATGGCATCTGTGTGTTTGGCTGGATGGTAATGTCAATTAATAAGCAGTACTGTACTCTTTAAGGGTCTGAGGACAGGTGTGATTCTGAAAGATTTTCCAAAGGAGGAAAGAAGGCAGGTTTTAGAAAATCTGGAGACTTTTGTGTTCTCTGTTTAGGTTGTAGTAACGGTCAGTAAAGATGTTACCTTGTGCACTGAAAATAATAAGTGGAAAATTTGGAGATCTGCATGTCAGAAGAATCGCATTGTTTTCCTTCACAGGGTTGTGGCTAGACAGGTCTATGGGGAAAGTGTGTTAGATGTGAATTTGGGCACTGTTTCTGCCTTTTCCAAAGACTCTGTGCTGCCTTTGTGGATTAAGAGGGAAGATAGAACTCAAGGCACATTTTGAATTACAATTGGTTGAAGGTGTATTAGTAGGGTGGTTTGGTAGGGTATTTACTAGTCTTTTCAGAGAGCTTTACCTTTGACTACTTTCCATTTTGCTTTTCTTTTTTTTAAAGATTACTTTTATTTTTTATGTGCATGCATTTATGTGTATGCATGTTTTATTTTATGTGTATATAATACCCAGGGAGATCAGAACAGGGTATTAGATTCCCCAAGAACTAGAGTTACAGATGGTTGTTAACCTCCATGTGGGTGCTGGAAACCAAACCCAGGTTCTCTACAAAAGCACTATTAACCACTGAGCCATTTCTCTAGCCCCAAGATTTATTTTTATCTGCTAGTGTATGCCATGTGTATATGGGGCACCTGAAGAACCCAGAAGATGGCATTGGATCCCCCAGGAACTAGGGTTACAGACAGTTTTAAGCTACCTGATAGGAGTGCTGGGAACTGAATTTGGGTCCTCTACAAAGCAGCAAGTACTCTTAAGCACTGAGCCATTTCTCTAGCCCCACATTTCCCTTTTTTATATGTCTTGAATGAAGGTCCAGAACCAACTGCTGCATCAGTTTTCATGGGAGACTAGAGCTACAAGGAATGTTGGCTGTCTTCTGTGGACAGAATAACACTTCAGGAAATATTGACAAAGTAGTGTGATAGACTGAATTAACAAAGTAAAGTTTAACAGAAATCAGTGGAAGTGGAAGGTCCTGCACTGGAGTTCAGAATTTTCTAGCTAGTCAAGTGTAGAGTGAAAGATTTATAACAGTAATTCTTGGAGGAGGGGAAGACCAAGAAATGTAATCTTCTCTAAGTCTGAGTGGTATTGGCGGTGTGGTGGGTCTGCTGTGAACACGAATGCAGTTTATATGCCACCATCATGTCTAGAACTGGGAAAGTGATCACGTGTTTGACTTTGTAGTAGAATTTAGATTTGTTTTTCTTAATATAATAACCAGGCATAACAATAAACCAGGAATCCTTTCGTAGACCTGCTAAAATGACAAACTCGAACTCATGCCCTGGGAGTGAGGTTGAAGTTACTGGGAATACAAGACCTGGAAAAGAGAAGTATCAGTAGATACTTCACAGAAATGATGCAGAAGGGGATTAGATGGTGCCTAGGGCAGAACCAAGGCCAACTGGAGGAATTCATAGACAAAAAGGTGCCAAGTCAGCCATTGAAAAAAAATCCAAAGGCCTGCCTTCCATATGTAAAGGCTTTAGTTGTAGGTACTATTTAGGTTGAGTTGGTGGGGAATGTGTGGAAAGAATTCCCCCCCTGTCAATTGTTGATCGAACCAGATGACGTTTCAGGGTCCTGCCAACCTGAGTGTCAGTGGTTCTGCTTTCTCCTCTTCATACAGCCTTTTGCCTTTTTCTGCTTGGCGGCTGGTGGCCCTGAAAATGAGGTATCAGGCGAGCAGTGTGGACTGCACAGGAGTCTGAGTTCATGTCAGGCACTGTGTACACTGCTGGTTGCTAAGATTGAAAGATCTGTGCTCTTCAACACGGTGTTTGCTTGTGTCTCTTACAGTGTTTCTTGTCTTTCAGGTGACTATAGGACGAGGATTTGGTGTCACGTACCAACTGGTATCAAAAACATGTCCCCTGATGATTTCTCGAAACCATTGTGTTTTGAAGCAGAATCCTGAGGGACAGTGGACAATTATGGACAATAAGGTACAAGAGCTCACAGACGCCCACGGTGCCTATTGAGTTTGTATATATCTTTAAGTTACTTTTTCTTTTTCATTTTTTAAAAAAATTTTATTTTTTTTTATTATATGTGTATGCGTGTATTGCCTGCATGTAGGTAAGTGCACCGGTGTCCTGGAATGCCCTTGGAGGTCAGAAGAGGCTGTCGGATCCCCTGGGACTGGAGTTACAGACAGTTGTTAGCTGCCATGTGGGTCCTGGGATTCGAACCCAGGTCTTCTGCAAGAACAACCAGTGCTCTTAACTGCTGAGCCATCTGTCTAGCCCCTAGGTTACTTTTTCTTACATGGATGATTAATTTATGGTATGAAAGGCAAAAGCTCATCCTCTTCCCTCTTGCTACTCCCACCGTTCTCCCTCTGTGCTGCCAGAGATTACGCAAGATCATCTATAACAACCTGGGTTGATGTTACCGTGAAGGGAATATCTGAATTGAAGATGTGGGTCCTTTTCAAAACTAGGCTTTGTTTCTGGAGACATAGTTCCTTTTGAAAGGTGACGATCCAAAGATGTTGGGAGGATGCGTGTGGCTCAAGGGACACAGCACAAGGAGAAAGCTGTCTACACTCCGCTCCTTCCATCTTTCCTTCTGAGCAGCCCTCTTTCTCCCTTTTCTTGAAAAAATATTTTACATGTTGGTGTTCTGAGAAATACTGGCTTTGAGTAGGGTTTTCCTGATTTAAATAAACATTTTAAACCACTGGGCTAGTTTGAAGTATACCAAGAGAAGTAAACTGTCCAAAGCCCAGGAATTAGGAAGTACTTAAAGTACAAATGCACAAGCACCCAGGAATATAGGGGAGACTGTAGAGTATAACCAGTTAGGGTTAGGAAGGCTGAACTCTCTTTAAAGTCTGTGTGTGTGTGTGTGTGTGAGAGATCATATACGCCGATTCTTACATCACACTCCAGCTTCATGGATTTCACAAGACAGAAGGACCACAGAGAGGGGGGAAGAGGATGTGGCATATGTACACACAGAGAGAGAGAGAGAGAGAGAGAGAGAATATTTTTCCTGTGAGAGAGAGAGAGAATATTTTTCCTGTGAGAGAGAGAGAGAGAGAGAGAGAGAGAGAGAGAGAGAGAATATTTTTCCTGTGAGAGAGAGAGAGAGAATATTTTTCCTGTGAGAGAGAGAGAGAGAGAGAGAATATTTTTCCTGTGTGTATTGTCCACTTGTTGGGTCCCCTGGAGCTGGGGTTGTAGGCATTTGAACCCCTTGGTATAGGTGCCAGGAACTGAACTTGGGTCCTCTGCAGGAGCAGGCAGTCCTCTTAATGGCTGAGCCATCTCTCCAGCTCCTGAACTATCTTTGGACACTATTAACTGCCTCACTGCTCTGCTGGCAGGAATTTCAAGGTTCCCGTTAGAAGTGAGGAAATCGAACATGTGTTAGCAGCTTCAGCTTGCATTCTTAAAACTGCCAGATGTCAGCTGTTGAGGACAGTGCCTTCCTGCTCTAGGGTTCGCTCTGTGTTGTAGGACATGGTAGAAATTGTGAGTAAACTGGTATGGCACTATTGGCAAGGCGCTGATGCTCAGGCTGTCTAGTTTGTTTAACCCTGTGTGGACACAGATGGACCTGCGACTGAAGTGGGTAAAGTGTCTTGCCCAAAACCTTTGTATAACTGGTGAGTGAGTGAATGAGCCAGGACTTGGCATTCAAATCTCTCTACTCTGCTGTGTTGTCAGGTAACAGCGGCAGACATACACAATTTGCTATACTGGTTCATCATTTAAAAACTTTTAAAGTTCTATTTAAGCTATAGCCATAGGGTTTAAAGCCTGTGCAAGCTTCTTTCTGAATCCCTTAGCAGGAGGCTTTCCTCAGTAGTGCTGGCTGTCTGATAACGGCACCGTAGTGTCCTTGGCTAGTTCGTTGCTCCCGTGACTACTGGCAATATGGCATTGGTAGAGTTTGATAATTGATGCTCCTGGCTATCTTGGTGTCCTTGAATGCCATCCACAGGGATCAGAAGCGGCCTTTGCTGCAGCAGGTTGTCACGCTGTGGGGCTACACTCCAGTGTTCACTTTTGCCTTTTCTTGTGGGACTGTCAGAATCATCACCGTGCCTTTCTCTCAGTCCTCAGATAATGTAGAAGAAAGACAGATTCCTGGTTCTTCCAAATTTTTTCTCAACAATTAGTCTAAATCTTTTAGTTTTGATTCTGTTGGTGAGGTGTTTGATTGCTTTTTGTTTGTTTTGAGAGGCCATAATAGGGGTTTTTTTGGTGGAGCAGTTCTCACATGTAAAATCCCTAGTCCCTTTGTGTGTGTGAGAGAGAGAGAGACAGACAGACAGGAAAGGATGCCCTTTCCTTCCTGGCTTCTGGCATGATGCCGTGGCAGCCATCTTATGGGACTTTCAGCTATAGGACATCACTGTTTGAAGTCATTGCCAAGTCTTTTTCAAGAGATAGATGTTTCTAAGAAGCAAAAACTTAAAAAGCATTGTTTTTGCTTCATAAAATTAGCTCATCTGTTAGAATGGCCAGAAAGTGAGAGCTTATGTATAACATGTATTTTAACCACCCATACCCTGCCCCCCCTGAAAAAAAGCAGTGTAGGCGGACCTTGAAGTACATGTATTCCTCAGACCAGCTGCTGTGACAAAATGCCCTGATACAAGTTAAAAAGATTATTTTAACTCCTGGTTTCTGAGGTTTTGGTACATCCTTCTTGGCTCTGTTGATTCTAGGCCTATGGGGAGGGGAGACAGACAGATAGACAAGGGGAAGGGAGAGAAGCCAGGTCTTCTCCCTTAGTTCGTCTTGGGAGCACCCTCACACACTCAGAGATGTGCTTTACTCACCTAGGAAGTTGACAGTGGAGAATAAGTATCACTTCTGGTCTGCTTCTTGTCAACTTGACACATAACCATTTCCTTAAATCATAGCATTACACCCCTGGCTCCCAAAAGCTTCTGTCTGTCTTATAATGCAAAATGCAGTCAGTCTATCTCTAAGACTTGTCATAGACTTGACAGGCCCAGCATTGTCCAAAACCCAAGGGTGAGAATCAAGGCAAACTCATCTGTGAACTTTTGTAAACACAAAAACCAGTTTATATAACTCCCATTGTACTGTGGAACAGAGAAAATGTTTTCATTCCAAAACAGAGGAATGGAGGCAGAGAACAGAGTCAGACCAGAAGACTGAAGCCCAACAGGGTGAACATTAAACCTGTAGCTTCATCTAGGGCACAAGGTGGCACGTGGTAAGCCTCCCAGTGGCCCGGGCAGCCCTGCTGCTATTGCCTTAACACGCGCGGTTCATGTGGCCTCTCTGGGGCTGGGTCTGCACTGCTGCTAAGGCTTAACCGCATCTCCTCCTGCGTCACTCTCAGGGTCGCCTTCAGACACTGAATCCTGTCAACAGTGCCTGGCCTCTCAGAGTTTCCTGGGAAGTCTGGGTAGAAGTCTCCATGACTCCCTAACTTTCATTTTGCACACTGGCAAAACCAGCGTCCCATGGACATAGACCACAGCCAGATAGGCTTCTGAGTGCCTGGGTAGCTGAGTACAGGGAAACACCTGGAGACACCTCCCTAGGGCAGCTCTGGAGGGGCGGGGTACCCTATCAGCTCTTAAAGGGAAAGTTTTTCAAATAAGTTTACTTATACCCTTAAGGGATTAGCTGGACTCTCCCTGCCTCTGACTCCAGAAGCAGTGGAAGGGAGTAAAGGAAGGGACCGGGCATGGTATAGTCTCCAGGAACATACCCTTAGGGACCCACTTCCTCCATCTAGGCCCCTCCTAAAGTTTCCAGAGCCTTGTAAATAGTATCTCTGGACCAAGCATTTGACATATGAACCTATAGGAGCTGTTTTCAGATCATAGCACTCTGCCCCTAGCTTTGAACAGCTCATGTATTGGTTGCTACCTGATAGGCATTGAGGAAATGAGAGCTCTGACCTAGGGAATGAGTTAATTCCTTCATAGATTTTTTTTTTTCTTTTGAGACAGCATCTCATTGCGTAGCCCTGACTGACCTTGAACTCACAGAGATTACCCCCTGCTTCTTCAGCACCCCCTCCCCCCATCAGTGCTGGGATTCAAAGTGTGCACAGTATTGGGAGATGGTAAAAAGTAGGAGGTGGGCCTACTTTGGAGGAAGTGGGTCACCTGAGGAGTGCCCCTGAAGGCTTCATCTTGTATTGACTCCTTCCTAGATTCTCTTTGCTTCCTGACTGCTTTGTCTTAAGCTCTTCTGCTGTGCCCTTCCCACTGTGAAGGTCTGAAACTGCTGAAACAGCCAGGTACATAAATCCTCTTGTTCTGTCAGATATTTTGTCACAGCAGTGGAAAGTCTGGCTGACACAACTAGCTCTGCATACAGTGGAGGACTATGGTTCTGCTTGTGTGGTTTCAGTTCATCCTTCCTTTTAGCATCCAGCTCTTTCACAGTTACACTGTGGAATGCCCTCAAGGCTCAGACCTGTTAACACAAAGCTTTCCCATTCCCTCATGCCCCTGTTGTTGGTCACCTACTTACTATCTGGTGATTTCTACCAGTATGCTTTATGATCTGGTCTTGCTGCTTGGAATAGTTCAGCATTAGGTCTTCTGACAAGAACTGTTTGTTGTTTTTGCTCTTAGCTGGCATACTTTTAAAAAATATGATGGGCTGGGGACATGGCTCAGTAAAAGCACTTACCACATAAGTGTGAGGACCCGAGTTTGGGTCCCCAGAACCCATGTAAAGTCAGATGTTCTAATCTTAGGGCTCCTACAGCAAGGTAGAAGCAGAGCCAGAGGCAGGAGGGTCCCCAGAAGCTCATAGTGTTCACAGCTATGAACAAATGACCCTATCTCAACCAAAATGGAGGTGAAGACCAGCACAAACCCAAGGTTTTCCTCTGGCCTCCATGTGGTTACCATGGCACACTCACCCTGGCACATTCACCCTGCATTCACACACTATACACACAAAGATTAAATAAATGTGATGGCAGTGTAATAAAA